AAGGATATACTACCATTTAATGTGTTGTTGACATACTGCTAATACAGAATCAGTGAGGTTTTTTGATACACAATCTTATTTTACCAAGTTTCTAGTGAACACAGGGAGGTAAAGAAATAGAAAACAAGAAAAACACCCTTTTCAGCATTTGTAGCAACCAACCTGAAATATGTATACCAAAAAATTCCAAACCCTCAAAAATTCATTTATTCTAACCATTTATTAAACTTGTTACCATTATAACAACAGTGGCTAACCTTCAGTGTGACCCTGAACTTTCTGCTATGTTCACCAAACTTTAATCACTTATTTCTTGTGTAACACTCAACCTTTGCACCCAATTTGACCTATATCAGATGAAAACATTTTGGAGTTGTATAAACTACACAGAAGTGCGACCAATGTTACCCCAGCCACTTGATGGGTGCAAAATACATGTTTTAGGAAGCTTTAGTTTCTAAAGAATGTTCTGGTTATACTTAAAGTGGCAGTCCATTAAAATGTAATTATAGATCTTTAAAAACTATTGGTCTGAGCATTGTTATCTGCATTAGAAGTGTACAGGTTTTAATAATGCTTTCTCTCCTTCAAAATCTCACTATTAAACACCATCTGTTTCACTAGAACGAGGACAGGTATGGCCTGATGCTTGACTTGCAATCTTTAGGCTTAAATCCTGTCACTAAATATGCTCGCCTTTTCTGCTGTGGTGATGTTATAATGCGATGGTCAAACCCACTTCCTATTATTAAATAGTTGCAGCCTTGGCATGCTGTACTGTAAATCAGAAAAGTTCCCAATTTTACTGTTAAACATTATTTTTTTCACCAGAAAAAGCCCTGGTCGCTAGAGTGCTCGACTCATACCTGTAGATTCAAATCTTCAGCTGTAGAGATGGTATAATGTGACGATCAATCCCACTTTTCATTGGTAAGGAGTAGTCCAAGAGTTGGCAGTGGGTGGTGTTGACTGTCTGCCCTCCCTCCCTCTAGTCTATCACTTTTAAATCATGGACAGATATCCTTCAAACTAGCTTTGTGCAAAATTCAACAAACAAACAAACAGATTTGCTGGAAAGTTTAAGGACCCTACCTATCACATCCAGTTACCAGCAGTTACCAGTAGGATCTCACCTAGGATACTAGGTACCAGTACAGTGTTACTTAATGTACCAGTTACCAGAAGGACCCTACCTATCACATCAGTTACCAGTAGGATCTCACCTAGGATACTAGGTACCAGTACAATATTCCCTAATGTAAAGGACCCTACCTATCACATAAACTCGTGTTATCATAATCAAGGGTCCGAATATTGACCAGTCTCGGCTTTTCGCCTCTTTGGGAAAGCTTTTAGAATATTTTTCAGTTGATTGGAGATAGTATAGTAGCTGATAAGTAATAACATGATACTGTTTGGACAAACAGATATGTATGTATATCAGTTTAGGGCACAACTTTCATAGCTTAATGTCTTATTTTGATTTTACAAAATTTTTATTCAAGTCAAATTGCACTAAACCTAGCATACCAGTAGGATTCTATGTAGAATGCCAGTTACCGATAGGATATACCCTAATGTACCAGTTACCAGCAGGACCCTACCTATCATATCAGTTACCAGTAGGATCTCACCTAGGATACTAGGTACCAGTACAATGTTACCTAATGTACCAGTTACCAGAAGGACCCTACCTATCATATCAGTTACCAGTAGGATCTCATCTAGGATACTAGATACCAGTAAAATGTTACCTAATGTACCAGTTACCAGAAGGATCCTACCTATCACATCAGTTACCAGTAGGATCTCACCTAGGGTACTAGGTACCAGTACCATATTACCTAATATGCCAGTTACCAGAAGGACCCTACCAATCACATCAGTTACCAGAAGGACCCTACCTATCATATCAGTTACCAGGGGTCCAGTCAACTTTCAGTTTCTTTTCTTCTTTAAGTAATTGATAATTTCACGGGCAAGGTGCCATCCTTGAGAAGGTAAAATAAAATGTCCAGTTACGTTAGATAAACAACAGTATTTACAGTGCTTTTGAGTGTATAGATCAATTTATCAAATCTAAAAATTGTACCAGTTATGATAATATGCAAATTATTTTGTTAGAAGTTCTGAAATAAT